CCCCCCCCTGACAAAATTTTAATGAAGAGACAGAGATCTAAAATCTAGATATATATCTAGATCTAGATCTAGATCTAGATCTAGATATATTAGATATATATTCTAGATCTAATCTACCAGTCCGAGATTCTCTATTGATTAAAAACGGGAAAATCATAAATTCCTAAGGTTGAGACCCAGACAAAGTCAGTCCGCTGGTCCGGTATTCTTCAATCTTACTCTTGGTAAATTTTTACTTTCACTCCCGCACACAGATGCACTGTTTCAGGGGTCAAACTGCGGCGATTGTCAAGATTTCCGCGTTTAATTCCGATGTGCGTTTTTCATAGCCTCAGGTAGTTTCGCTTTGGTCCCTAACCCTAACCCTAACCCTGACCCTGACCCTATCCCTAACCCTAACCCTGACCCTATCCCTATCCCTATCCCTAACCCTGACCCTGACCCTAACCCTAACCCTGACCAGGGACCAAAGCGAAACATACCTGAGGCTATGAAAAACGCACATCGGAATTAAACGCGGAAATCTTGACAATCGCCCAAACTGCTGTACTGTTTGGTGCAGATCACACTTAAAGCCACTAAAACTGTCGCAAATCAATTATTTTCAAGACAATTTCAAATCTAACTGTAAAATATCAAATTATAAATATATACAGGGTCCCCACAGGGTCGGGAAATCGGGAAAAAGTCGGGAATTTTGAGATGGGTCGGGAAAAAGTCGGGAATTTTGTGATGGGTCGGTAAGTCGGGAAAGTATAGGGCCTGTATAATGTGCAGCTATCTAGACTGTGTATGGTTGATGAATCCTAAAGAGGAAACGTAATTGAACCGCTGTGACGGAAGTGTGTGTGACACTGAGGCTCGATCGGGAAGAATCAAGATCTGCTTTCGTTAACGCCCGGAAACTTTCCGGTAATAGTCTGATACTACTGATAGATAACGCAACATTTGTAACATGCAGGTTGTGCATTATGAACACTGTGTCGCCTTGAAAATAAATCAATATTAAAAATTGCCCTCTGCTGTCGCTTGTGGAAAAAAAAAAAGAAAAAGAAGTTATACAAGCGTCTTGACAGGTTCGCCCTCGTGAC